CTCTTTCCTTCCTGTGTTTGTTTAATTTTAAACAAGGGAGGCAAAAGGAAAACAGATAGTGGTCACCGGGTGCTAGGCCCCAGAGGCAGAAATTTATTTGTTTAATCCACTTCTACCCTGCCTTTCTCCCTAGTGGGAACCCAAGGTGGCTTACTTCATTCTTCTGTTCTCTGTTTTATCCCTACAAGAACCCTGTGAGGTAGGTCAGGCTGGGAGAATGTGACTGGCCCAAGGTCACCCAGTGAGCTTCCATAGCAGAGTGGGGATTTGAACCTGGGTCTCCTAGATCCTAGTCTGATGCTCTAACCACTACAACACACCGGCCCCCTCTTTTTAAAAAAAAGAAGAGAGAGACGGGACTGATTCATCAGGTAACGGTAGAGCTGGAGAAGTAGAGGTCGCCATGAGGGAAATCCCCAAAAGAGGGGCAGAAGATTCTCACTAGGTGCAACAAAGGATAGGAAGTCAGTGGAAAGCATTGCACTAGTTTGCCAGTTTGGTGTAGTGGTTAAGAGTGCGGACTCCAGTCTGGGAGAACTGGGTTTGATTCCCCACTCCTCCTCCACATGCAGCTGCTGGAGTGACCTTGGGTCAGTCACAAGTTCTCTCAGAGCTCTTCTCTCAAGAGCAGTCCTCGAAAGAGCTCTCTCAGCCCCACCTATCTCACAGGGTGTCTGTTGTGGGGAGAGGAGGGGAAAGGAAATTGTAAGCCGCTTTGAGACTCCGAGTGAAGGGCGGGGTATGTCCAATCTCCTCCTCCTCTTCTTCAATGATTTTTAAAATTATTTTCTCTTAAAAGGATGGGATACAGAGGAAAAAAGGGGTAGAGGAGAAATATAGATTCATCAAATTTGAAAAGTATTATGAATTGTTACATACAAGTAAAATCAGATATATTCTTCTTCCGTTGAGTGCCACACTTGGGCCAAGGTAATTCGGCAGTGTCTTCTTCGCATCACCGGGACCAGAGACCCCTTTTCCTGGCCGTCTGAGTCACTCCGCTGGAATCCTCCGGCCCATTTGACTGTGGCACAGAGGAACATTAAAATCTGAAAATAATTCTAGATTTGGGAGCTGAAAAGCCTCATTAAATTATCGCTCACAGAGATTTGTTATTGTGAAGACTGGTGTTCCCTGTAGGTACGACTGGGATACGATTACTGGGGCAACGTCTGATATGGATTGCTTCATGACTTGGCCCAAACCCAGCTTGGAAACCAAACTTGCCTCACTAATCTAAACGGAGGCCACTTCCCCGGTGTTGTCATGTGTCATGCTCCCCATACTGTTATAACTATTTACTGGATTATTAATTATTTTACTAAATCTAAACACTAGGAGTCTTGATCTGCAAGTCTGCAGGCGTGCCATGTTGCCTGCTGACAACTTTCCTCACACTCGCCAAGTGTTTTTAGAAAGTGGGTGGGCCTTTTGCCCAGCAAGGCTTCTGACTGGCCATTGGAGATTTGATTGGCTGCAAAGATTTTTGAAAAATGTTGCTTTGGTGGCCGCTGCCAGCACAGTGCAAGGATCTTCACTGTGGGACTGCAAGGAAGCTGCAGTAGCCATTTTGTGGATGGCCCCATCTCCCATGGCAACCATTTTGTGGATGGTCTCATCTCCTATGGCAGCCATTTTGCGGTTGCGCCCACCATGCTGTGTCAGAATCCCAAAGGTGCCACCAGGCTCAAAAAGGTTGGAGACCTCTGGAGTAGGTAATCTAGGATGAGGACAAAGACTTGTTTCTTCCCCGCATACAACATAACCCCCTTACGTATACATGGGCAGAATGCATTTAAAGCTTCTAAGCCAGGGATGTCAAACATGTGGCCTGGGGGCCGGATCAGACCCCCGGAGGGCTTCTGTCAGGCCCTCAGTGGAACTGGTTGTCTTCTGCTTCTGCTTCCAGTTCTGCTGCTGCTGCGTCTGTGTCATCGTAGGTTTGCAGCTTAGAGATACACACCTGAACAGCATACTCAAGATTGCAACAGCACAGGCATTTTGATGCAATACTTCAGAGCAAGAGGTGTCAGTTATCAGACACTGCTAAATAAACAAAATATTGCAAGAGTGCTAATGTTTTAAGCATGTTTTTATTTTAAGTAAAAAAAACCCCACCTTTGTCTTTGTGTCCTTTATAAAGTTTATATCTCTGCTACCTGGCATTACCTTTTATGACACACGTGGCCCCGGCCCAACAAGGTCTCATTTATGTCAGATCTGGCCCTCATAACAAATGAGTTTGACACCCCAATTCTAAGCACCCGAAGCCCACATTCCTGGACTAGCAGAATGTGTATTTAGCCAGGCTTTTCTTTTGAATCCCTGCGGCTTCTCGGATCACTGGACAATGTCCTGCCTCTCGTTTCCGCCTGCAGGTGGCCCTCCGTATCCGCCCCATCAATGAAACTGAACTGGAGGAAGGGGCCGGCATCATCGCCCACAGGGTGGGGGACCAGGTAAGACTCTGAGTCTATGGGGGGGGGGATTAGTTGAACAGAAGTTTTTTGGGGGGGGGGGGGATTAGTTGAACAGCGGACACTGCCTGGGGGTGGGAGACAGGCGCTGGTTTCTGGCAAGCCCAGTTTGTTTATTTAAATTTTACTTTATGTATCCCCTGACTTGGATACGTCTTGGAAGTTAAGCAGGGTCAGCTTCGGTTGGTATTTGGATGGGAGACCTCCGAGGAAGTCCAGGGTTGCTACTCAGAGTCAGGCAAGGACAAAACCACCTCTGAGAGTTTCTTGGCTTGAAAACCCTACAGAGTCAACATGAGTCAGCTGCAACTTGATGGCAATATTTATATTGGGTCCCAACTCCATTTTAGCCTCACAACAAGCCTGTGAGGTAAGTTAGACTGAGTGTCAGGGACCAGCTTGAAGTCACCCAGTAGGCTAGCCGGGCAGTGCCTAGAAACCAGTGGGAGGGTTGTCAGAAAGGGACAGTATTCCAGGAGAAACATTTAAAAAGAGAAACTCAGCAGGGCTCTTTTTGTAGCAGGAACTCCTTTGCATATTAGGCAACACACCCCTAATGTAGCCAATCCTCCAAGAGCTTACAGAGCTCTTCTTACAGGGGCTACTGTAAGCTCTTGGAGGACTGGCTACATTAGGGGTGTGTCGCCTAATATGCAGAGGAGTTCCTGCTACAAAGAGTCCTGCTTACAGGAAGTTCTTATGATAGAGTTTCTGGCGATTCCTAGCACTACCCTGAAGTGAAAAGGTAACTCTAGGAATTGCTGGAAACTCTATGGTAAAATTGGAAGTTCTTGCCCACCAGTGCTTGGCAGCCCCACTACCCAGCAAACTTCCGTGGCCGAGTAGAGATTTGAACCTGGGGCTCCTAGATCCTACTTCTTCGTTCCATGAGTCATTACACTATGGAATTGCTGCCAGCTGATGAAGCGATGGCTGCCATCATCAGTGGCCTTCAAAGGGACAGACTAGTAGAGGAGAGGCGTGTGACCCATCAGCGGCTACTAGTCATGGTAACCCAAAGGAACCTCCGCATCCAGGAGAAATCAACCTCTGAACACCAGCTCTAGGAAGCAGCATCAGGGAAAGGCCTCGGCCCAGGGCCAACTTATCCATTAGTTCACAGCATTTGGTGAGTCTGCTAGTGGCCACCAGCCATCAGAAAGCCCTGGAAGAAACCTCTTCAAATAATCGAGAAACACCTTTGGCTATTAAAAGACTACAAAGTAAGGACGCCAACCTCCAGGTGGTGGCTGGAGATCTCTTGCTGTTACAACTGATCTCCAGGTGACAGAAATCAGTTTACCTGGAGAAAATGGCTGCTTTGGAAGTTGGAATTAATGGCACTATGTCCCAAACCCTGCCCCCCTCAAGCTCTCCCCTGAAAAACTCCAGGTATTTCCCAACACATACCTGGGAACCCTACTACAAAGAGTTTATTTATTTATTCACTCCATTTACATCCCCCCCCTCTCTCCAATGGGGACTCAACTCAGCTTCCATCATTCTCCTCTCCGCCATTTATCTTCACAACAACCCTGTGAGGCAGATTAGTTTGAACTTGTGTGACTGGCCCCAGGTTCACCCATCAGGCTTCCATGGCTGTGGGGATTCGAGCCTGGGCCTCCCATATCCTAGTCCGACATTCTGTTACGCCACTGGTTGTCCATTTTCTTCTTGCTTGATGCTATATTGACCCTTCCAAAGCTGTAATGAACACGTGGAATTCACTGCCACGGGAAGTGGTAGCAGCTAGAAGTATAGACAGCTCTGAGAGGGGATTGGATGAACATACAGAGCAGAGGTCCATCAGTGGCTCTTATCCACAAGAGGGAACACTCTGTCTGGGGCAGTGATGCTCTGTCTTCTTGGTGCTTGGGAGGGCAACAGTGGAAGGGCTTCTGGAGTTCTGGCCCCGCTGGTGGACCTCCTGACAGCACCAGGGTTTTGGCCACTGTGTGACAACTGGTTGGACCATTGGCCCGATCCAACATGGCTTCTCTTACATTCTTATGTTTGGGGCAGTGATGCTCTGTCTTCTTGGTGCTTGGGAGGGCAACAGTGGAAGGGCTTCTGGAGTTCTGGCCCCGCTGGTGGACCTCCTGACAGCACCAGGGTTTTGGCCACTGGGTGACACAGAATGTTGGACTGGATGGGCCCCTGGCCTGATCCAAAAGGGGTTCTCTTATTTTCTTGTGACTACAGACTGAAGGTTCGATCCTGCCTCTTTATGTGCTTTATTTGCTTCCTGTGATCTGTGTTTGTTTTCTTCGCTTCTCAGAGCAGATGGTTTGTAATCGACGTTGCAGACACTTCCCTAATGATGTATTTATCTAAGACGCTGCCATAGTTTCTCTGGAGCATTATCACGTGTGGTTCTGTCAAAGACGCAATCTCCCTTGAGGTTCAAGAACTCCACCTTCCGTTCTGCTTTCCTCGAGAGGAAGGAGGAATATCGTGTCCCGTCCCCCCCAAGCTTGTTTTTCTGTGAGGAAACATGCTCCCAGAAGAGTCCAGAGAAACCAAATCGGGTCTTCAGTTTTCCATTTTGAAAAATTAGTTCTATTTTCTCCTGAACATCTCCTGGAGACGAACTCTCCATGGGAAGCATAAGAGAAGATTCTCTTTAACACTTTGTGTTATGATGTCTTTGTAGTATTGCCAACTCTGGGCAGGGAAATTCCTGGAGATTTGGAGCTAGAGCTTGGGGGTAGATGGTGTTTGGTGAGGGGAGGGGCCTCAACACGGTGTCATGCCCTAAGGTCCCCCTTTCAAAGCAGGTCTTTCCTCCAGGAGAAACAAGCTCTGTTGTCTGGAGATTTGTTGTAATTCTGGGAGATGGGGTTGCTAATTCCAGGTGGGAAAAACTTGGAGATTTGGTGGTGGATTCTGGAGAGTGTGGGGTTTAGAAAAGGGAGGGACCTCGGCAGGGTATAATGCCGTATAGGTCACCCTCCAAAGTAGCCCTTTCCTGCAGGGGAACTGATCTGAGAGTCAGTTTGGTGTAGTGGTTAAGTGCGCGGACTCTAATCTGGGAGAACCGGGTTTTATTGCCCACTCCTCCACTTGCACCTGCTGGATGACCTTGGGCAAGCCATAATTCTGATAAGAGCTGTTTTCTCAAGGACAATTCTGGAAAGAGCTCTCTCAGCCCCACCTACCTCACAGGGTGTCTGTTGTGGGGAGGGGAAGGGGAAGGAGTTTGTAAGCCGCTCTGAGACTCCTTTGGGTAGTGAAGGGCGGGGTATAAATCCAATCCTTCTTCTTCTTCATCTCTGTAGTCTGGACATCAGTTGTAATTCTGGGAGATTTCCAGGCCTCACCTGGAGATTTGGCAACCCTATGCATTCGAGAAATTATGAACATTTCCCCTCGATTTAGGACTGGTGGTCAAATCTAAAATCTAAAACCAAATTCCCTATCTGGGGCCTAGACTCTTAATTTTCTGCTGATTTTTTCTTTCAGCATCTTTTAAATTAGACCCTAAACCGTTAGTTAACATAAGAACATAAAGGAAGCCAGTGTTGGATCAGGCTAATGGCCCATCCAGTCCAACACTCTGTCACACTGTGGCCAAAAATACCAGGGGCCATCGGAAGGTCCATCGGTGGGGGCCGGACGCGGCCAGGACGCTAGAAGCCCTCCCACCGTTGGCACCCCCAAGCACCACTTCAGAAACACTACAATTGGGAAAACTGTTAAGTGGCTGCAGTTAACCTATTTTGAAATACTTGTGGCATGAATATTGTGGCCTAGACCCAAAGACACGCTTGCATTTTCACACTCCCAGTCCCTCGCCCTTCATCTAAACAGCTCCCGGACACCAGGAGCAATTTCGGGCTGGTCTGGAGAGGGTTAAATAAGATGGGAGGAGTCAGAAGAGATCCACCCCACCCCCCGTCCTGGTATTCCTTTTGCATTTCCCTGGACCCACTATTTATTTATTATTTAGAATAGCGATGCCGCTCTTTCCCAGCATGAATGGCACACAACCATAACTTCGGAAACACAATGGAAACTTTATACAAAAATATCTGGCAGAAATTTAAAATGGCAGCAGCATAGTCAGAACCTCCATGGTGTAGTGGTTAGAGCTTCAGACTATGAATAATGTAAAGGTGGACCATGAATAACTTAAATAAAGAAAGATTCAGGTGGGTGGCCGTGTTAGTCTGAAGCAACAGAAAAACGTTTGAGTCCAGTGGTACCTTTAAGCCAGTTTGGTGTAGTGGTTAAGTGTGCGGACTCTAATCTGGGAGAACCGGGTTTGATTCTCTACTCCTCCACGCAGCTGCTGGATGACCTTGGGCAAGCCGTAGTTCTTTCACAGCTGTTCTCTCAAAAGCAGTCCTCGGAAGTTCTCTCAGCCCCATCTACCTCACAGGGTGTCTGTTGTGGGAAGAGGAAGGGAAAGGAGTTTGTAAGCCGCTCTGAGACTCTGAGTGAAGGGCGGGGTATAAATCTAAACCTCTTCTCCTCTTCTCTTCTTAAGACAACAAAGTTTTATCCAGGGTATAAGCTTTTGTGTGCGTGCACACTTCTTCATGTAAAGAACTGTGCATGGACACAAAAGCTTATACCCAGAATTGAACTTTGTTGGTTCTAAAGGTGCCACTGGACTTAAAACTTTGTTCTATAAATAAATAAATAAATAAAGACATAAAAATACACAGCTCAGTCAAGAGAAGGCACTCCATCCCAAGCTGCGCCATTCTTGATATTAAAAAAGCGTTTAAAAACGCTTGAACTTGTGAATTATTTCTCTGCGATAGATGGTGGTTCTGATGGATCCGACGGAAGATCCAGATGACATCTTGCGCGCCAACCGGTCCCGAGAGAAGACTTTTATCTTCGACATGGTTTTTGACCACACGGCGAGCCAGGTGAGACGATGGCTCTTGCGTCTCCTAAACAATCTGGGTTCTGTCATCCTCGGAGCAGAATACTTTTCTTCCTTTCTTCTTTGAGTGGCTGCCACTGTGATTGTGGACGCTACAGGTGGAATGCTCATGGCGGAAAAGCCTCGGTGACTCACAGGTATCTGCAACGGAAAAGCAAGGAGATCTCACTCAAAGATCATTCTAAATCTTCCCATAAGCACCACAGTCCTGATCTGAATTGGACATGGCTGATGCAAGAACTGAGGAGAACCTGCTCCTTGGGTGTGTCAGAACCCACAGCTAACAACGAAGTACACACATTCAGGAACGGTTATACTTTTATTGCAAAGCTATAGATGCAGTAACACAGGCACTGTTAAGAATGGCCACAGCCAGTAGAGCCTAATAGGATATAGGGTTTTCGTATGTACCCCCCCCATAGCATGGGCCAATTAGGCACCCTCCCGCGCGCAGGATATGTCAGGCAACCGTTAGGTGGCTAAAGCTGAGAACCAGGAGTCTCTCACGGTACATAGGAGCCCTCCAGACATCACAACCTCCTCCTGCACATCTGTAGAGATAAGCGTTTCAGCAAAGGGAGAACAGCAGGGATAGGAATGCAATAACAATTAACAAGTCACAGAATGAACTCCCCAACCCCCATGGCAACATAGCTGACAGGGTGTAGGTTGTTCTTTGTGTACCTGTGACCCAAACCACGAAAACGAGGTACCTTCCGGCTCGACAAGTTGGTTCTAAGGCCCTACCCTGTGTCCAAGTCAGATCTGAGTAGCGGGTTCTCCTCCGTTTTTGCACCCACCATTCCCAATTTGGACGGGGACTGTATGGGAAAACATGTAATGCTCTTTGGCTCTTTTGGGTAACCCACTGTCTGGCACATTAACCCATGGTGGCAATCCCAGAGCCCACCTGTGTAAATCGCCCTCTTTCTCTCTCTCTCTTTTTCACATCCATCTCTACCCTGAGAGAAAAGAGGCTGTGACTGATGGTTTAACCCTTGAGCTTCTTGTTAATCTCTGTTCTCCTTACCGTTCCTTCTGGGTCGGTTAAATTCTTTATCAAAAACCTTCTAGGTTGTGTTTTGCTTATTTTGATGCTTTACCTCCACTCGGGACGCTGCCTTATACTGGATCAGACCACTGATCTATCAAGGTCAATATTGTCTACTCAGACGGGCAGCAGCTCTCCAGGGTCTCAGGTGGAGGTCTTTCCCATCACCTCCTGCCTGGTCCTTTTAAACTGGAGATGCCGCCGGGGATTGAGCCTGGGACCTTCTACATGCCAGGCAGATACTCTACCACTGAGCCACAGCCCCTCTTTGCAGCTCTCCAGGGTCTCAGGCGGAGTTCTTTCCCACCCCCTCCTGCCTGGTCCTTTTAACTGGAGATGCCACCGGGGACTGAACCTGAGACCTTGCCAAGCAGATACTCTACCAAAATCTTCTCCCTAAACAAAGCTGCCTTATACTGAATCAGACCCTTGGTCCTTCAAATTCAGTATTGTCTACTCAGACTGGCAGATGCTCCCCTTGATCTCAGGCAGAGAACTTTCCTATCACCTCCTACGTGTATCAGGTAGCCCTGTCATAGGTCTGGTATGTGGAGGAATGCCCTACCCTTGTCTGTCTCAGCTCTCCCTGGCTCACCAACTGTTTGCTGTCTTATGCTTGACCTTGTAGATGTTCCAGCTACAGTTTCTCTCTGCTGGGAAAGTTAATGGCTTTTGCTTTGCCTGCTTGCTTTGCCCTCGTGCGTGAGATTTATCCATTGGCTCATGCTTACCAGGGGGATGTTTGATCTTAGTATAAGTCAGAGGACCCAGTAGGGTGGCCATTCCTGACACAAGCTGTACACATGTCTCTAGTACTGGATTTATCAATAAACAGTTATCTTCTTATGAAGCCCTGTGTTGTGTAACCTGACTAAGGACTCTGACAATGTGGTCCTTTGAACTGAAGATGCTGGGGGGGGGGGGTCAAACCCAGGACCGTCTGCATGCCAAGCAGAGGCTCTTCCACTGAGCCACGGCCCCTCCACTTGACAAATAAAAATAAAATGTTTGGCCTGTCTGATTCAGTTCTGCTGACGAAAAAGGTTTTGGAACCTTAATATCAAATAATTTAATCATTTTGATACGGGGTTAACATAAGAACATAAGAACATAAGAGATGCCAATGTTGGATCAGGCCAAAGGCCCCTCCAGTCCAACACTCTGTGTCACACAGTGGCCAGAAATACCAGGTGCCATCAGGAGGTCCACCAGTGGGGCCAGGACATTAGAAGCCCTCCCACTGTTGCCCCCCCCCCAAGCACCAAGATGACAGAGCATCACTTGCCCCAGAGTCCCTGTCTATACCTTGTGGCTAATAGCCACTGATGGACCTCTGCTCCATATGCTTATCTAATTCCCTTTTGAAGCCGTCCATGCTTGTAGCCGCTTGTAGGGTTTAATCCAGAATCTCTCTCTCTGTGTATATATAAATCTAGAGCTGTTGAAATGTTGCTTAATCTGATCAATTGCATTTTCTTGCTCTTAGGAGGAGGTATATATGTGCACAACCAAAAATCTCATTGAAGGGGTCATTTCAGGATACAACGCGACAGTCTTTGCATATGGACCCACAGGTAAAATGGCTTAAACTGTGTTGTTTGACAAGTCTGGTCTACCAGGGTCTGCTTGGAGGGTGAAAGGGTATAAGGAAGCTCTTTCTTGTGGGTCACATCTGGAATCACAAATTGAGGGGGGGCAGAACCAGAACACTTGTTTATTTATGTATTTACACCCCACTGTGACGGATTGCACATAGAAAACAGGTTTCAAATGCTGCTTGTTTCAGAGAACCTGGGAGATCAGGAGTTCATCTTCCCTGGAGTGGACAGCTTATTTGATTGGCTGTGCTACATGTTCTCTAACTGGCCAGCATCAGCTGAGAGAAAGTATAGCATCAGCTGTTATGGAGGGAAAAGGGTGATACAGCAGTCCTCTTTTGGTCTGCGTCTTTGAACAGGGGAAGGGGTATTTGGAGTCAGTGTTCTGACACGGGTTATAAATGGGCGCTTGCACACCTGCCAAATAATGCCGTTTCAATCCACTTCAGCGACCGTTTGCAGGTGGAATTTGCCATTTTGTACAGTGAGATCCAGTTGCAAAGTGCATTGAAAGTAGTTTGAAAGTGTGTTATTTAGTGTGTGTGAAAGAGAAGAAGAAGAGATTGGATTTATACCCCACCCTTCACTACCCAAAGGTGTCTCAGAGCGGCCTACAAACTTCCTTTCCCTTCCCCTCCCCACAACAGACACCCTGTGAGGTAGGTGGGGCTGAGAGAGCTCTGAGAGAAACTGCTCTTTTTCAAGAACTGCTCTTATCAGAACTACGGCTTGCCCAAGGTCATCCAGCCAGGTGCAAGTGGAGGAGTGGGGAATGAAATCCGGTTCTCCCAGATTAGAGGCTGCACACTTAACCACTACACCAAACTGGCTCTCTAGTCAGAAAGGTTCCTTTACAGAGAGAAGAGGAGAGACTCCTTTGTCCTAACAGAATTAGAACTACTCTGAGGCAGCCCCATAGCCAGGAACTTTTCCAGCAGGGGGCTTTGGGATTTGGGGGGGCATTGTGCCCCCTGACATGACGGCATCACCACAAGTGACTCTCCTCCAAGGAGAGCCAAAGAGGAGGCAGCCAGGCACTGCCCTGCTGCTTTACTGCCTTCTTGGCTGTCCAAGCAGGCTCAGATGCAGTGAGGCGCCGGGGCTGCCTCCTGCATCTGCCAGCCAGCGAATCGGCTCTTCAAGAGCTCTCCGAGAGCTAACTTGCTGGCTGGTGCTGGGGGTCCCCTTAATTGATAGGGGGCACAGCTCCTAAAGCCCCACTGCTGACTACGGCCCTGCTCTGAGGGATAACTGAGATTCTAGGTCCAGAAAGCTACAAACTGCTTTACACAGACAATAGCACTGGAAGATAGATTTGGCAAAAGTGACTGGGCTGTTCGGCTGTGATTCCTAGTCAAGCCAAGTAGAAAAGGGTTATTGCTTCTTAGGGAAAAGAGGAATAATTCCTGCCAGTGAGACAGATTGTGCTCTGAGGAGAACCCAGGGTCTATAGTAGACGGAATAAGCTGTGGACATTTCAGGAGTTAGTGAAAAGCTGATATTTCTGAAGGGAGAAACCAGAATTCTAAGGGGAGAAATCTAGAAACTCAAAGAAAGAGCTATCCCCCAGGAAACTCTATGAAGAAGTTGTGTTATTGCTACAGTATACTATGTGGAATAGAAATTTATTTGTATTTAGCCATAAGCCATTACAAACCAAGGATTAGAGTAAAATGTAAGATATAATAAAACCATACAATCAGAATAAAATTGAATCAAAAGGTATCTGCTAAGATCAATGCTACAGTATATATACTAAGCCACGTAATCTTGCACCAAAAAGAACTAGAAAACTCTGAAATTAAGCTATAGCCACACTCATTATGATCTCAAATCTGTATATATTATAACGTTTTACCTCAGTATTTCTAAACCTTGACTTTGTCTAAATATATATATTCCCTGCCTATTAAATAAAATCTTTATTCTGTTTTGAAAGAAGATATACGTGCTACTTGGGGGTGGCTCAGTCACTGAGGGTAGCCAAAGTTTTGGCGGGAAAATCTGCCTGGGAGTAGGGAAGAGACAGGGGTCCATCATACCCACGTTCCACTCCAACGGACTTAGAACATCACTTTCCCCTCCTCCCTTTTATCTTCACAACAGCCCTGTGAGGTAAGCTAGGCTGAGAGTGTGCGACTGGCCCAAAGTTGTACAGCGAGCTTCCATAACAGAGTGGGGACTCGAACTTGGGGCTCCCAGTCCCTAACTTGACACTTTAAACACTACTCCATACTGGTCCGAAGCGTTACAGTTTAGGAATGGAACACAGGAAGGAAGTGTGGTTGCGTCCAGTGTTCCCTCTAAGCTGAGGGGGTGTGAGCTAGCTTACAGTTTTTTAGCCTTCGGCTCACACGTTTTTGTCTTAGCTCAGAAAGGATGGCTCTAGAACAAACTGATCTATGCAGTAGCCAATCACTCACTCACAACTTTAATGCCAGTAGCTCACAAAGTAGAATTTTTGCTCACAAGACTCCACAGCTTAGAGGGAGCATTGGTTGTGTCAGAGCCCAAAGCACCGTGGAAAGAAAAGTAGCAAGTACTAAGATCTAGTAATAAGCTTCCACATAACCCGTTGATGGTCCCTGTAATTTTATTTATATTTAGATATTTATGCCTGGTTTTTCTCCCCAATGAATCAAAGAGACTTAGCTCTTTCTTACGTCCTCCATTTTGTCCTCACAGCAACCACCCAGTGAGGTAGGCTAGACCAAGAGAGAATAACCAGATGATGGTCACCCAGCAAGCTTCTATGGCTGAGTGGGAGATTCGAACACAGGTCTCCCAAATCCGAGCCTGGCGCACTAACCATTACACTTAAGGGGATGTTTAGATATCTGCCTTTCTCTGTGTTTGATCCAGGGGCTGGGAAAACATACACTATGCTGGGCCTGGACGCTGAACCTGGCATCTACATCCGGACACTCCACGATCTCTTCAGAGCTATTGAGGCTACCAGCGGGGACATGGCCTACTCGGTCTGCATGTCGTATTTCGAGGTAGGATGGCCCGACTCCGCCAAGGAGCTCACGGGTGGTGTGTTCATGATTCTCCTTTCCCCAGTTTATCCTCACAACAACCCTGTGAAGTAGGGTGGACCAGGGGTCATTTCCTGCGGGAGTACACAGGAGCGGAGCTCCGGCATTAAGGAGCCCAGGGGGCGGGCACATGCAACAAACCCCACCCCCTGCTCCCAGCAGCCCTCAGTCGGGCCACGAGGAGCAAGAAGCAGCCAGGTAAGTTGCAGAGCCCCCCCCCCAGCCCGCCTTCAGATACAAGCTCTCCCTCCTCTGTGAGGGCAGATCTGCATTCCCCCCCCCCATAGCTAGCAATCCAGAACAGTCCAGTGGAGCCTGAACGGTGGGTGTTGCCTTCTGACACCCTTCCGGTGATGTCAGGGGGTGTGGCATATGCAAATAAGCTATGCTGATAAGTTATGCTAATGTGCTCCTGCGCCTCTTTTTCTACGAAATAACCCCTGGGGTAGACCAAGAAAGAGAGAGAGAGAGAGTGCCCCAAGACCATGCAGTGGCCTCCTCAGTCCGATACCCACAGTTCTAGGCCTGGTGGATTTCCAACCAGACTTGCCCTTCTGGCTGCCTGATTTCTAAAGTTCAAAACTCAGAGGAATAAAGAGAGTCATGAAATTCCTGAGATCTGGGGGTGGAGCCAGGGGAGCACAGGATTTGGGGAGGGGAAGGCCAGGACTTGTCTTGCTTAATTTATGGGAGGGGATAGATGTTCCTGCTGTCAGGAAAGATCTCATTTCTTGAATGTTGGTGGCAGCCAAGACTTATTGGAAAAATAGTATATAGCCCTCATCGAATATGAGGTTCCATAAATTATGGGAATACCTGGTCATGGAGGAAATATCAGATGCTGTTTCCTTGGCGGAGGATACAGACTTCCATTCAGATTATTTGGAACGTTGGTTCCCTTTTCTTGAATATATGGAAAGAGATAGTAAGCTTAAAAAGGCACTTCCTGATCATTGAAGGTTATAGCTATATATTGAATGGCTGTTTGGTTGTATTGCTCTTGTGTGGTTTTTGTGTTTGTGATTATGTTGTTATTGTTGTGGCTTCCTAATAGTATGTGCTACTGTAAATTGTTGTTATATTATATAAATAAAAGATTATTACGTTTTTTAAAAAGTGGGGCATAGTGGACTTCACTTCCACCTTCCAAAGTAGCCATTTCCCTCCCAGGAGAACTGATCTCTGTAGTCTGGGGATCGGTTATATTTCCAGGAGTTCTCCAGGCCCCACCTGGAGGATGGCACCCTTAGTACACACCTAAATATTCTATTGAATTCAGAGTCAAGTGCGAACCAGACCAAACTATCTGCAGTGCCCTGGATTTAAAAATCCCTCCCCTCTGCATTAAAGAACATTGTCCTTTTCTTTCAGATTTATAATGAAGTAATCCGTGATCTCCTGAACCCGTCTTCGGGATTCTTGGAACTAAGAGAAGATTCGAAGGGGAGCATTCAGATTGCCGGGATTATGGAAGTCTCCACCACAAATGCACAGGAGGTACAGTTGAATGGCCTTCCATAGGGAAGGAGAAAACGGCTGGTGTAGAAACAAGTTTGGCGGAGCACTTAGCAAAGGTCAGAGCTTCTGTTAAAGGGTAACATACGTGTTAAGGTTGGGGGTGGGCGCAGCATCATGTGATATTATTTGTAAAATGCAGCTTCATGTACTTACCAGAAGCTCTTCCTGGAAGTAACAAAGAGTAGCTCTAGGAATTTTCAGAAACTCTATGGCAAAAAAATCATAGAGTTTCTGGCAATTCCTAGACCTGCCCTTTGTCACTTCCTGTGAGAACTTCCAGTACATACACGAGGCTGCATTTCTCCCCTCACTTTGTCTCCCACCACCTGTCTAGGGCCCCACTAGAGGCTTGCCTGTGCAACAAGATGTGGGAACAGAAAGGGGAAGGAGCTCCAGCAATGGCAGAATTTTATTGTCATCCAGCCAAAATCTTACATTAAACTGGAACGTGGTCCTGGCTGGGGGAAACCTGGAAGTGGATCCATGCTGGAGCCTGAGAGGATAATCTTGTTCTCTCTTTCTCTTTCTCTGCCTCCCTGAAATTGGCTTCTCCATCATCAAACCCCCTAAGAACATGAGACAGAACCAGTGATCCATCTAGTCCATCATCCTGTTTCACACAGTGGCCAATTGGCTATCCTGGAGGGGCCAACAAACTGGGATCAGAAGCCCAGTGTTGCATTCCAGCACCGCCATTCAGAGGTTGACTGCTTCTGGATGTGAAGGTTCTTCTTGGTCACCAGTTGGTGGATCCCTGGATCTGTCTTTGAAAGCCACCTCTGCTCCTCGTGGCCACCTCCACAAGCCCAGCTCACCTTTCGTTTTGCCTCATTTAGATCATGGAGCTGTTAACGAAAGGGAACAAAGAACGCACACAAGAGCCCACGGCTGCCAACAGGACCTCTTCTCGGTCGCACGCCGTCCTCCAAGTGACGGTGAAGCAGACCAGCCGGGTGAAGGATACAAATGAGGAAGTGAGAGTCGGGAGGCTCTTCATGGTTGACCTGGCTGGGTCAGAAAGGGCAGCTCAGGTACAGCTCAGTCCTCTTCCTCCACCCCTCAAGCCCCCATAGTTCCTTAGCCAAGATCCTCCAAGACTTGGAGGGGCTGTGGCTCAGTGGTAGAGCATCTGCTTGGCATGCAGAAGGTCCCAAGTTCAATCCCCGGCAGCATCTCCAGTTAAAAAGGACCAGGCAGTAGGTGATGGGAAAGACCTTTATCTGAGACCCTGGAGAGCTGTAAGGAGGGGCTGTGGCTCAGTGGTAGAGCATCTGCTTGGGATGCAGAAGCTCCCAGGTTCAATCCCCGGTACCTCCACCTAAAAGGATCAGAGAGGAGGTGATGGGGAAGACCTCGCCTGAAACTCTGGAGAGCTGTAAAGAGGGGCTGTGGCTCAGCAGTAGAGCAACTGCTTGGCGCGCTGTAAGTCCCAGGTTCAATCCCCGGCATCTCCAGTTATGATCAGGTATGTGGTGATGTGAATGACCTCAGCCTGAGACACTGAAGAGCCGCTACCAGTCTGAGTAAACAATACTGATTTCAATGGATCAAGGGTCTGATTCAGTATAAGGCACCTCTGACACAAACTTCTGTTTGTGTCTCAACCAAACAAAACCCCCAGTGCTGGCCATAGGATTGGAAAATTCCTGGAGATTTGGGGAGGGGGTGGAGTATGGGGATAGCAGGGTTTGGAGAGGGGAAGGACCTCAGCAGGGCATAATGCCATAGAGTCCACCCTCCAAACGATCCATTTTCTCTAGGGGAATTGATCTCTGTCTTGTGGGGATCAGTTGTAATTCTGGGAGGTCTCTAGGCCTCACCTGGAGGTTGGCAACTCTGTATGACAGGAGGCTATTTTGATTTTCTACATTAGGCTTTGTCATGCTACCCCGTGGGTTGCCACCTTCCTCTGCCACCACTCTGGACTTACGGTCCCTTGGGTAGGCCCAGAGTACCCTCCCAATCCCAACCAAAAATGCCCCTTTTAAGCCGAGAAATATAGGCATGGTGACCAGGCAGAGATTGTAGGCGGTGTCTGCTTTCCACTCCCACACAGGTCTCCTGGGCCGAGGCCTCACTAGGCCTTGTCTCCCAGTCCTACACAGATCATGACAGGCTCCCATACTATTTCTCTGTTATTTGGGAGAGCACCTCCTGCTGCTACTTCCATAGGTAGGATTTGTACAAGGGAGAGCAGAAAGCAGGGGTCATTTTGTAGAGAAAGAGGTGCAGGAGCTCATTAGCATAACTCATTAGCATAACTCATTTGCATATGCCACACCCCCTGACATCACCGGAAGTGTGTCAGAAGGCAACACCCACCACTCAAGCTCCACTGGACTGTTTTGGATTGCTAGCTATTGGGGGGGGGACGCACAGATCTGCCCTCACAGAGGAGGGAGAACTTGTACCTGAAGGTAGGCCGGGGGGGGGGGGGGAGTGCAGATCTGTCCTCGCAGAGGAGGTAGAGCTTGTACCTGAATAAAACTTGGTCTTAAAGGTGCCAGTGGACTGTCTTGGACCGGGGGGCCGGGGGGGGGGGGCTCTGCAACTTAACTGGTTGCTTCTTGCTCCTCGTGGCCCATCTGAGGGCTGCTGGGAGCAGGGGGCGGGGCTTGTTGCATGTGCCCACCCCCTGGGCTCCTTACTGCCAGAGCTCTGCTCCTGTGCACTCCCGCAGGAAATGAACCCTGGCAGAAAGAAACCATCATGCTTGGGTACAGCTCAGTTGGGAATTCCCTCCCCAAGGAAAAATGGATGTTGAATTTCCCTGTCATTTGTATTGGGGTTTTTTTTAATCCCTGGGAACTGCTCTGGGAAGCAATTCTCAGCTGAAAAGTGCAACAAAAATATAATGGATAAAGCAGTTTTCCCATGCGAAGCCACATCGGAATTGACTACGTACATATAAACTTAATATATGGTTAGATTGTGGATGAAAGGAAACTGATTTAATTTTGTAGGTTTTCTAACAATTAACTGACAATAAAGATTATATAACTCTTATGGTTTAAAACCGTTATGGTTTTACATCTTGATGTTTAAAGAAAGGTTATATTATCCTGATTGTCATTTAATTGTTCCGCAACTTACAAAATTAGATCAGCGGTTTTTCTTCCACATAATCGTTATTGTCAGTTAATTAACGTTTACAGAACTTACAAGATCACATTCATTTCGTTTCTTTCACAGTTAGACAATTCTTGGAACCTTAATTACTTGCACACACTATAAGAGTTCTTCCTCTAACTATTGAACCAGTGGTATCCAACTTATGTCCATATACTTAAGGATATGTATAAATATAAATGTCAATTTTCAAGTGTAGGAGAGGGGTGAAAGTAGGGTTCCCAGCCTCCAGGTGGGACCTGGAGGTCTCTCAGAATTACAACTGATCTCCCAACTACAGAGATAGTTCCACTGGAAAAAATGACTGCTTAGGCGCGTGGACTTCATTGTATTATACCCTGCTGAGGTCCTTCCCGTCCCCAAATCCCACCCTTCCAAGATCCACCCTTAAATCTCCAGGAATTTTCCAACTCAGAGTTGGAAACTGTGGGTGAATAAGTGTTGCTTGCCAAAGGCCACCCGGGTGAGTTCATGACTGAGATGAAATTGGTGTCAAGAAGTGGGTACCTTCCACTCCTGGCCACCAGTTAACCAGTTTTTCTGAGCCCAATTGTTCCTTCTGTTTGCAAAGACTAACCGGTTTCCTCCTCTTCCTGTGCAGACTCAGAACCGAGGCAAGAGGATGAAAGAGGGTGCCCACATCAACCGTTCGCTACTCGCTCTGGGGAACTGCATCAATGCCCTCAGTGAGAAAGGGGGCAGCCGGGCCCAATATGTCAACTTCCGAGACAGCAAACTCACCCGCCTCTTGAAGGTACTTGGGTTGTTGGGAGTCGACCATCCAGTCCCAGGAACTATGGCACCTGTAATGCTTGTCGTGGGGAAATCCCACTGTGTGCTCAATCGCATTTTCGTCCAGAGGCAGGTCTTAAAACTGCACTGGGAGTGGTTAAGAGCGCGGACTCTAATCTGGGAGAACCGGGTTTGATTCCCCACGCCCCACATCAGCTAGTGTGACCTTGGGTCAGTCACAAGATCTTTCAGAGCTGTTCTCTCAAGGACAGTCCTCGAGAGAGCTCTCTCAGCCCCACCTACCTCCCAGGGTGTCTGTTGTGGGGAGGGGAAGGGAAAAGAGATTGTAAGCCGCTCTGAGACTCCTTTGGGTAGTGAAGAGCAGGGTATAAATCCAATCTCCTCCTCCTCCTCCTCCTCCTCCTCTTCTTCTTCTTCATCGTCATCACTAAAGTGATCACCAAACAGCACAGCCAGGGGAAAAATGGCTGCTTTGGGGGGCGGACACTATGGCATTATACCCCACTGTGGTCCCTCCCCTCCCGAAACCCCACACACCCCTGGCTCCACCCCAAAAAACTCTAGGGATTTCCTAACCTGAAATTTACACCCCTGACTCCAAGACAGGCTCAAAAGAGAGATATCTCAGTATCGGTCTGGCCTCATCGGCTGTTTTTTCACTCCATTGGGTGGGATTATAATCCCAAAACTGTTCAATGTGAATCCTTCACGGTTGTGTGCCTGTCTTTGAGAGGTTTTGAGGATGCTGTCAGAGCCCTGAGTCTTGTCGGTGGTGTATTAATGGCAATGTTACCCGGTAGGACTCCTTGGGAGGAAACAGCAGGACTGTGATGATTGCGCACATTAGCCCGGCCAGCACTTACTTTGAGGAATCTCGGACTACACTGATCTACGCGTATCGAGCGAAAAACATCAAGACCAGGGTGAGAAAGCAAAACCGCGCTAGTGCTTAGTTCTGCAGCCTGAAATGTTCACGATATATGAAGGTCCTGCACAAGCAAGGGGCCCTCGAGGACTCATGAAAGGGGAATCCCGCATCAACATATTGCCTCTTTATTATTAACATATTGTTGGATCCCCAAGCATCGAGAATAAATCCACGTTTCAAAAAAGCAAAATTTATTTCAAAGCTTTGGAAAGATACTCAAACAAGTCCTTTGTTAGGAATGGGTACAAACAGCCAGGGCAAATATAATAAAGGGATTTGAACCAGGTACCGAACCAATGGATCACTTTCCCGCTGGCGGGCAAAGGAAACGGTTGCGCGCTCAATCCCTGGGAACATTGCTATCTCCAGACATAACACAGGTGCAGTTCCCAGGCTCTAAAAGCAACAAGCTAGCATTCAAGCTTACCTCCTACACCACGTCCTCCAGATGTTTGGCTTA